AATCAAGAAATCCTGTCAAGAAATGTCATATTAATGCCAACACGGAACGCAGGCTTGCGTCATGTTAGCCATGGCAGCACGATAATAAACAACTTGCATGTTAGACGTACTAATTTTTTTCTATGTCAAAAATTGTAAACGCCCTTAATGACCTTATTAAAATGAGTAATATTGAAAAATTTGGTTACGAAATGTTGTAAAATACGCAAAATATATTCTTGCCAAATTTGCATATTTTGTATATATTAAAACTGTCTGTACCAGTGTACAATCAGTTTCAAAAGTCTTGGGACAGATGCCACAAAACCTTTGAATTTCAACAAACGACAATCCCCCCGCCCCCTGTTCAATGTTGTGTCCCATTTCTCGTCGGGTTTGATGTGTTTTGGTTTAAACAACATTGATAGGGGTGGGGGGAGGGGGAGCGGAGCGGTATTGTGTGTAAAAAACTATAATGATCCACTTACAAGCTAAAACTACATGTGTCCCAACAACTTCTGAAAGTGATTGTCTGGGCCCCATATGCCATAACATCATTGTACATCTCAAAAGTACAGGGAAAAGAATGGTCTGCGAACGAAGTATTTCAGCTCCATTTCGTTCACAGAACATCTAATGACATTGTAGAACAATTAAGTTTCATTAAAATTCTCAAAGTTAATAATTAACAGAATATGAATATAATTTGTTATGTCATATTGCATTCTTAATCACAAAGGCTTTATACGTTGTTTGTTTCTACAAATTTTGGCAGAGCACTAGTAGGTTATTTGAGAGGTTATAGTCCGTCAATAAAGATAGGTTTCGCAAATGTTTTACGCTAGATATGTCACACATACTGTTAATTTATAGCATAATAATATAACATCCGGTTACTTTCGCATGCGGGTAACGGCTGAGTCAACTGCTAATTCGGGTACTCCGAAGGTAAAGAACGTTTGATTTTTATCACCAATAGTGAATGTGACATTTCACATCTTTCTAGAGCAGAATTTGCAGATATAATTGTCGACGCATGGGTACGAAGGAGCACTCAGTGGGTGGGAATTTCGGAGGCTAATGGAAAGGGCGGTATCATATAGTATATATAGTCATTTCCACATGGCTAAACAAATGTCCGCAAGATCAAGTTGGCGAGCTATCGGAAAGCTCGAGAAGAGTAATTCGGCATTTAATTGAACTCAGTCAGACAATCCCAAAAATTACTATTCAGCGTATTCATACGTGGTAAAGAATGACCCGGACTTCGTGATTTCTCCAGGGCTTGTAGATCTCCCTAATGCTGACGCGTTAGCAAGTACTAGCGCGCGCGACCCGCCGAAGCAAGAGAGTTGCACAGACTTCCAAAAATATGTAAAGAAAGGGACTTGCTGTATACGGCGTTGTACGCATTATACAACACAAAGTTAGTGTTATACGCTAATTATGCTAATAAGCATTTCCGGTCCAGACGAATGCAATGAAACTAACATCGGTTGTCACTTCGATTGTCACTATAGAAATATGAAATAATGGGCAACTATGCAGCTTTTAAATCAGAACAAGGCTAAGAATAATTTGTTGAGAATGTCTAACTATGTATTTGCTATTAATGAAAGGGTTTGAAATTGATTAAGCCAAGTTTTGGATTGATTGACACTTTTTTACATAAATAAATCTGATATATCATAGTGATATTTCTAGAGTTGAGTGTCAATCGATACATTTTATACAATTTATATACTTTGCGATTAAGTAGAACCCGAAATATATCAATACGTGCTACCTAAACACTTTTGCTTAGTACTTAATATTCTGAAAATTATTATCCCGCGACAATTGAAAGTTATATCAATGAAAATGCTATGTGTTTCAAAGTGACAACCGAGTGACAATCGAGCACGTGTTTAAATCGTTTTATATTACATACATATTTTCATGTCAAATATGCACAATCTTTAAGTGGTTTTCGATAACTTACCCTTGCATTTTATTCAGCAATAACCTAGGTCGATAATTAACCAGATAGATGTGTTTTATCCCTTGCATATAGAGCAGGTTTAATCTCTCAGCATACGTCCCTCCCCACATATCACATCTGTTTATAAGCTCATTTATAATATACTGCTCAGTCTGTTGGATTTTGTTACATTTCAAATATATTGCCCACAACAAGCACAATATAAAAGCATTATATATGCCAGTGCAATTCAGTAAATATGTCATACTAAATGCTATACGATTTTCGCAAAACTGATATTCCAAAACACTCGGTAATTCAAAGAGGTTAAATATGCTTTTCATTGCCTTTCAGACAATCAGTTTCAAAAGTCTTGGGACAGATGCCACAAAACCTTTGAATTTCAACAAACGACAATCCCCCCGCCCCCTGTTCAGTGTTGTGTCCCATTTCTCGTCGGGTTTGACGTGTTTGGTTTAAACAACATTGATTGGGGTGGGGGGAGGGGGAACGGTATTGTGTGTAAAAAAACTATAATGATCCACTTACAAGCTAAAACTACATGTGTCCCAACAACTTCTGAAAGTGATTGTAGGTAGTTGTGTCGCTGACAGAACTTTATATATTTTTACGGGATAATTATTAAGTAATTATAGTAATGCATGACCATTGAACTAAAAATAACTGGAACGATACCTTCAACCGGAAATGTGAAGCCATGCCCAGGCATGCCCACTGTTGTCATGCCCAGTCTTTCCGCGTAACGGGAAAACGCGGTTTTTTTAAATTTCCAAAACTTAGTAAAAAAAATGCAGTAAAACATCGTTTAAGACGACATAAAATGCACCTACCAGTACATTTTTTACAATAAAAACATCCTTTAAAACTCTAGAGTAAAATATTTTTAATTTATTTGTGTAGAATTCGTAATTAAATTTTCTTTTTTGAGAAAAAACCTTGAGCGAGGAGTGGAGCTTGCCGTTGTCTAATCATACGTATTTGTGTGAATTTCCCTACTTTGCTCTTTCGTTTTCCAATTTATTCGTGTGAAAGTTAGGAAAAAAGGTATTCTAACAAGCTCAAACTACTAACCACAGTTTAATTATGTTTTGTAGTAGAGTATTTATTAAGTTTTAAAGGTACAAAATAACAAATATAAACATTAAAGACATTAAAAGGTTTTTTCGCGAACAAGTATTTCATGTTGCGATTATTCATATAATTTCGGCAAGAAATACACAGAACAAGTCGTCAACGAAGGCAAACAAAGTGATAGATACAGAATAAACTTATTTTGTTCAACAATTTATGAAGATGTTATAAATATATGTTTAATTAATACGTTAAAATAAAGAATTACTTATCTTTCTCAACTTTCATCTACATATATAAAACGTTCCAGTCATTCAAATATGCACTTGTTATCTCCAATCAGCTACTCCCTTCCTTGCAATTTTTTTCGGTAGAGTTCAAGATGTGTTTTAAATGCACTTTTAATACAAAAATATAGCTTAAAACCATAAATAAACGACAATTTTCGATCCATTCGCCCGAGAAAAAAACATTCAAGTCACTGCCGAAATGGTCTCGCGAGAATGTCTCGCAACACAAACGCGCGTGTCTGGAAGTAAAACACGCGCGGCTGGAGGTAAAATTTGGCTTCATCCAATCATAAACCAATCTTATAGGAGGTAGCGTTCCAGGTATTTTTAGTTCACTGGCACTGGCTAGGACCATGGCCACAGATGAGGTAAATACAGATGTGAATCTCACGGCAAATTATGTCACACCGATTAAATAAACTTTAAAATTGTATTAATTCACTATTTTATTAAATTTTGATAATGCAGAGAAATAAAACTATACATATTATAGAAGTATTCATGTTCTTTTTATGCCAGAGTTATGTTTTGAGGAATTTATATCATTCGCTGTTTTGTTATTATACATGAGCATCTGAAATTCCCAGCAAGTGTATTTCACGATTTTAATAAGGAATAGATAGGGAAAAAAACAAACTTTTGCTAAATAAAATGTTATGTTAACACTTTTAATAAAAAGAAATCAATAAAAGTGATCGCTTACCGATACTCTTGAAGAATTAATTCCAAAAATAGCCGTCGGTAGCGTAGATTTAAAAAAAAAACAATTTTTCGTCTTTCGAACGGCGTTTTCCTATCTCTTTCCTTATTAAATTTCAGAACGACACTTGCCAGCGCTCGCCGGAAGTGAGAATTCCGTGTGACACAAAACAATCAGCAATTTGACGGAAGATTCACATCTGTACCTACCTCATATGTGCCATGGCGTCGGCATTTTGATGATGAATCATGGCGTGGCAGCGGTTACTCGGGTCGACCTTCTGTGTGTCTTATTCTGTGGTAAAACGTTTATTTTGGCGGGAAAATTATAGGTTTTTCAAAATCTTTGTAATTTTTGTTTAAACACCGAAGAAAATGTAATCAAAGGTCCTTCTTCATCAAAAATAAAAAGTTAAGAATTTAAATTCACGCTTTCAATGTAAAAGTATTCGATACTCACTTGAAATTCGCAGCGTATTGATCACAACGTGAAATTGACAAAATTCCATCGTAGAACTAGAATTGTCGACTATACGCGTTTAAATTACACAAGACGCGTTGGCCACGCTAGTTACCAAGCATTTCTAACGCATCTTTTCTAGCCGCGTCGTGAATCCTAAACTCTCTTTTGGTTAGCCAGGGTCGTGAATAGAACTATTAGGGAGCCTTTGTGGTAATGTTCAACACATGTGACAAAACATAAGATTTTGAAAGTTTATTATTTGTTTTCTTACACAAGCGCTATGAGGCACAATGCGGCCGTCAAAAATTAGTTATAGCAATTTTTGGGTGACGTCTGCTTTGACCAAAATATCGCTTGCTTATTAAGCTCACCATTCATGGCCTTACTCCTTCTGTTCATTGAAATGTATTTGGTGCTGTATGAATTCTCAGATGTAGTGAATGCAACTGAATTCTGACATTAACGTAATTAAGTATATCAAATTATTGATTGTTGAAGAATACTGTTTTATGTTTGAATGACGTCAAACTGGGGTATACAGTAGTTGAAATTTAAGAAATGGTGGAAGCGTTGCAATTCAAAAGCGGACTATGTTTCCCAAACGTTTCACGAGACAGGATTTCCCATTTTTGAGAAAAATCGCAAGCTGTTCAAAATATCAGCATGTTGGGCATCTCATGCACTCGATATAACAAATTGTTGAAGGCATTTAAATTCCCAAAATCCTGATATTTCCCCATACACTGTACATTGGCATTACCTTGATATTATACGTGAACTTGTGGCTAGAGCTTGACAACTGTCTCTCTGTAGCTGAGTTGGTTAGAGTGCCTGCCAGAGGGCCGATACGTTACGTTTTTCGCAACTGCACCTGGAGGCTGGTTCTAATAAATGTATAAAAATTCCACTCGAATTTTCCATCTGCAAATTCATTCAACAACAAGTTGTTCTAAGGTTTGGTTTAATTATCTCAGCTGTTGCTGTGGAGGGAATATCTGGCACTGGTGGGACATTGCGACAGGATTTCTTTAAAGAAGAATACAAACTTAACAATGCTATTGGTAAGATTCTATGCCATGTTTGTCTGTTTGTTCGTCTGTCTGTCTGTGTCTCTGTCTGTCCACTCACTTATGTATTTATTTTTCAATAATGCAGTAGTTCAGCTATCCTGTGTACCGACTGTGCTGTACGAAACATGTAATACTGTCCATAACTTTATTTGTACACTCGGCCCCATGCCGCGTTGCATATTTTTGAGGGTACAAATTCCGCTCGGCTGTTTACACTCGGGAAAAGGAAAGCATTAGCGAAGTTTAAAGTTTATCAATAATCGCGGGCGCATGACTATGTTTGAAGGTGTATGGGTGATCATCTCACTGATCTCAAAGATATGGAATGACGATCATTGCAGTCAGTAATATCCCCGTGCAGTACTTGGTTGTTGAAAGTCTATATTCTACAATATAATATATTCTCGTAAGATTTTGTTTCATTTTTGTAGGTACTTTAAAAACTCCGTACGTTGCTCTCATTGATGGAATTACTATGGGTGGGGTACGTATGGCCAGATAATATACCGTTTTTCGTAAATTTTGAGCAATGACAAAAATGCATATTCGTTCAAATGTGTTCATCACTATCAGATTGCAAACAAACGAACAAACAAACAAACAAACAAACAAACAAACAAACAAACAAACAAACAAACAAACAAACAAACAAACAAACACAGGCAGACAGACAGACAGACAGACAGACAGACAGACAGACAGACAGACAGACAGACAGACAGACAGACAGACAGACAGACAGACAGACAGACAGACAGACAAAGCGTCAAAAAAGGCGCGAAAATATGAGAGAAACGTGCGGAGAGACGGACTTGGATACCCTGCAAGCGTGCCAAATTTTACCGTCGGATTTTTCCTACGGAGGCGTGGCTTGCCAGTTGAGAACAACAACAAATTTTCGCGCCAATTTTTGCAAGTAACATTCGAAATGCTACAAATGTCCCAAGTCCGTCTCTCCCTACGTTTCTCCTGAGACGGACTTGAACCAAGTCTAGTGAACATGATACAACGTCTTGAATGATGTATTTCCGAACACTGTAGATGATGCAACGACCTGAAAAATATAAATAACTTCTAGACGAAGGGCGGTCGTCCCGAAACGTCGAAGTTCATATTGTATTTTACGGTTGTTGCATTATCTACAGACTACAGTGTTCTCAGTTTGTATTCTTCGCTACCTACACTCAGTCTGGTAGCCAACGTCCGAGTATTTCTAATTTCAATGCATTATTCTTGTAATGTTTCTTAGGGTGTGGGTCTTTCAGTTCATGGTCATTTTAGAGTTGGTACAGAAAGAACGTTGTTTGCAATGCCTGAAACTGGTATAGGTAAGTGTTGCGAGCAAGGTATATGATGTAATGCGATCATAGTTACGACGTAATGTAAACAGCTTCTACGTTTATGTTATTCACTACATAAGATTTAAGGCACACAGTCACCTTTTGAACGATACTATATTTTAATGGCTCAAATCTTGAAAAAGTTCATGAACAATTTCAAGTTGATAGATAAAACAAGGCGATGAAATAGCGACGCTTGTTGCTTTAAAGCTATTTTAACACCAACATATTTCTCATTACCTTTATCTAAACATAAATACCACAATCTTGCGATGTTATGATGACAAGCCCATGGTGTCATAACATTAAGTAACAATTATTAAGTAACATTGCTCAAAGGGTGACTGTTTGTGTTGAACCCGTAAATATCGCCAAGGGAAAATGGGCAAAATAAATAGGGTAGTGGTATACGTTTTTGGATGCATACCTTTAAATTTTTGCTTTTACAATTTTTCATACTAGGTCTCTTCCCTGACGTTGGTGGTAGTTTTTTCTTGCCAAAATTGCAAGGAGAACTTGGAACATTCTTAGCATTAACAGGTGAGGATTAATCTTTAACTAGATGGAACCTTCCACGGGTGAACATTTGACAATAGCTTAGTCCTTCAATTTATCGTCTCTGAACATTATATTTTACGTTATGAAGTTTAATAGAAATTATAACACCGTAAATCTTAGTATTGTGCACAAATTTTATGGTGTGCACGCAAATTAATGCTAGCTGGACAGCTACAGCGTACAGTGTGTGTAAAAATGGTCCTTCGTCCCGCGCGGACGAAGCAACCGTAACGGAAAACGGACGGTTACAAAGTTATGTATAAGAGAGGTTTAAGATTTTGAATCCATTGCCGCTATCTTTACTATTAACCAGTCAGGTGCATTTATTCTACCCAATTATTCAATAACCAATCAAATGCGTATCAAGCATGCCTGTAGAAAGTAGGAAGTTAATATGGAGCGACGCTACCTCCAAAGTCTAAAGGGCTAACTCCAAACCAAAATATACACTTAAATGTGTAATTCAAAACTGAGTTGAAATATCAATTGTGGAGTTACTGGCCAACTCCAAAAATCATTTGAAGCTAGGTATAACTCCAAAAATCATTTAGAAGCTATAGGTATCTAAGCCTGGAGTTGCTAAATCGAGCTAGGTAACTAAGCCTGGAGTTACTGGCTAACACCAAAAATCATTTGGAGCTAGGTATAACTCCAAAAATAATTTAGAAGCTAGGTATCTAATCCTGGAGTTGCTAAATCCAAAAATCATTTGCAGCTACGTATAACTCCAAAAAGCATGAAAAAGCTAGATATCTAAGCCTTGAGTCCAAAATGTGTGTGTAGCGAGGCAAGCCAGGCTATAGCCGCTAGGTTCTTAAGCCTGACGTTACTTGCTGTGTCGGAGCTAGTTATCTAGCGGCACACTTGACATTTTGTTCTCGTTCAGAGGCTAAATTTTGATCTGCAGCAGCGCAACCCATTCTCGTACCCCTCGACCCTCGTCATGCTCTGTTGACGGCGTGTAAGACGAGCTCTGGGTACGAGAATGTGGCATAGCCTTAGCTCCAATTGAAGATTGGCTACCTCCACAAAAATAAAATCTACATGTATGGTATCAAGCCTATGAGAGGCAGTGGATGTCAAATCTGAACCTATCTATTATTGATAGGAGAACGATTAAAAGGTTACGACGTCCACCACGCTGGAGTGGCAACGCATTACGTTTCATCTGACAAGGTTGGTATAGACATCATTAGTTGCTGCGTCACTGAAATGTGGCAACTTGTTTCTGCATGTCGATCCCTATACGACTAATAGAGTACATTGGGTTGAGAAAATGACGGTTGAACATTGTCTTTTTTGCAATTTCAAAAACAACATTATGCACTTGGCCAGATTTGCACCTCCCCGAAAAGTTACGTACCAGGTTAAATGATAGGTCAAAGTGAAAATTTGACAAATTGCTTAGACTTTGGTCTACACTTTGTAAGAAAGTTTTTCTGTAATATTGAAACAGTAATAACCATTCATTTTTGTGTCAAGTACCCTTTAAGTACAAATTTGAAGAAAATCTTTCAAATACATTTTTTCTGCTAGTGTGTGTCATCCCCAAATGTGAAGTGTCGTTGGATTTTCAAATGAAATAATCAACTTTTTCACAGATTTCTGATCTAGAGGAGAACATGTTATTGATGGAAAAACCAACATTAAAAACAATCCTTGAAATGATTGAAAAATACCATAAAGAAGTAAGTATTAATGTATATTAACAAAACCGCGAATCCTTCCTATCGCCCAAAAAACGTGTGTCAAGTTTTTGTGTCAAAATGCAACTACATTCCTAACGCCGTGAAATCGACAATAGGGAGCTTAATTAAGCAAGCGACGTTTTTGTCAACACGGACCTCAGATTGCCGAGGGAGGACTGGATTAAAACTGCATGACTGTTTGTGTGAGTTTGTGGTAATGTTGCAACACATATGACAAAACATAAGACTTTTAAAGTTTTTTGCTTCCTTACACGAACGCTATGATGCAAAATGCCGCCAAAATTACTTATACCAATTTTCGGGTGAATGTTTATCAGAGTTGATGAGATGGCATTGTCGGTAAGCACTCGAGTTTCGAGACGCCGATTCGCAACTTTATACTGTAGGAAGAGGAAAATTACTGATCAATTGCTTTTTATAATTCTTCAGGAATTGCAAATCCAGTTTGGCATTTCCTAGTAAAAAGCGTTCAGTAATTACCCGGTTTGTAAAAAGCGTTCAGTAGTTCCCCGATATGGTTTAAAGTTTCAAATTGGCGTCTCCGAAATTCGAGTGCTTACCAACAATGCCAAAACAAACTTTTGATGAGAATTGGCTATGTATTTCCGGTCAAACGAGGGGCAACTCTCATCAAAATTTGAACCAGCTGATGTTGATGACAATCTCAAAGTTGATGAGATTTGGCGGTCAAAGTCTCTTCAATTCTCATCCTTCTTGTTTGACCAGGTTTTATATCATCTGTTATTTTTTTTAGAGTGTGTCGAAAATAACAACAGATTTCTCATTATCCCCACATTTAGAATGCATTAACAGGTTTGTAACCAGGTTGTTAAATGTTCTTTCGAGTATTGGAGGAAAATTTGAAAATATAACAGTTAAGAATACACATGTATTACTTTAGATGTTTTGCTAAAGAATCGATGGAGGAAATTATGGAAGAATTGGAAAAGGAGGGAACTGAGTGGGCAATGTCTAAAATAAATGTAAGTGATGAGTTTAATACAGGTGCTGATTTCTTAAGCTGGAATTGAAATCCCAAAATGAGAACTTGATGCAAATATTGTGCGCTGGGGCGGATCCAGACTGTAGCAACTGTAGCAAATGCTACAGTCAGATTTTCGTGCAAAAATATTTTTAATACTGAATGTGTTGATAGTAAAAATTCCTTATAGAAGTTTTCCAGTTTCTCTATCTCAAAAAAATTAACTTCCGCAGCTTCGACCAGATGTCCGTACGTTTTTTTGTGAGCTACAAATATTAAGTTACGTTTTTACGCGCTTATCTTAACCTGATTTTTACCCGAAACAACGCCCGCTTTTCTGGGAAATCACCAAAACTTTTTAAACATCGTTCAAAAAGCGTTCAGAAAAGTGGTCTAAATATAGCGATTTATGACGTCAAAATGCTACAGTCAACTGGGGGTCTTACGTCAAAATGCTACAGTCAGCGGGGG